TTAAAAGTGTGCATTTGTTGCTTGCAAACTTATAAATATGTATAAACCCCATTATAAATAAATTGTGGCTGGCAGATGGCATTTGAGCTGCCAGCAATGGTTGCATGGAGTTATAAATGTTTATTAATTCTCCACTTTTAAATTCACAGCATGGGCCCTGAGATCTATGACATGAAGTAGTACAAAAACATAATTGTAAATTAGAGGAGGAAAGCCATCAATAAGAGACAGGTGAGGCCTGGAAAAGCTTGCCAGTCTGTGGTGCTCAAAATCCAGATTCTAGATCAGCTGCACCAGCATCACCTCTGGATTTATTTGGAATGCAAATTCTCAGTCCCCACTTCAGATCCATGGAGTCAGGAAGGGGTCAGGTAGGGGCTGCAATCTCTGTCTGAGCCGGCCTGATGCCTGCCTTCCGCTCCAAATCTGCTCATCACCAACACCATCCTCTCTGCTGGAGGATTCTCCTTGCTTGGGAAGTATGCTCAGGTGTGCACAGGGCCAGTCAAAAACTATTCTCAGAAACAGCCTTGCAGCCTTCCACCAATGACTTGAGGAATAAGTACCCCGGCTCTCCCTCTGCTCTGCTGAATTAACTCTGAGGTGTGTTCAGCCCCATCTCACTAGTTGTCCACTTCATGGGAACTTGCTTATCATACTGTCTGTCCCCTTCAGTTATTTCCCTTCCCTTTCCCCAGGACTGTCACCCAAATAAACCACACACAGAAAGAGCCTCTCTCAGGGTCTCTCGGAGGAACCTTAATGAAGACAGAAGACACAGAAATACTGCCTCTTCCATCTGAGTGAATCAGCCTCCATGGATTTTGGGGCGGAGCGCAAATGTAAAACCCCAGGGGAGAAGCACTCTGCCATTCTTTCTGGGGGTGAAGGACCTTAGCAAGTCCTGTGCTATTTCTGAGATTCATCCTCACCATGTCACATGGCTCTAGTTTCCTCATCTGGAGAACGGGGGCCCCTCCGGCTGGACTGTCTTATAAAGCTCCCTTCCTTGTTATCCTGAATGCAGCTGGCACTTCTTGGTTGGCTATATGTTCCAGGAACTGTGTTTATCCACTTCATCTTTTAAAGGACTGCCTTTAAAAGTTCCACTGGAGAAACAGAGTATTATTCTGAAACCTGCTGCAATGATCTGTCTGGGTCTGCAGTGAGCTTTTCGCAACCTTTCCACAACCCTCCCACCCCCTGCCAATCCTGCTGCCACCATTCACAGAAAAGGATTTATTGATGGTGTGCACACTTGGGTCAGCAAGAAAGAAGCGAGAGATGCTCTAGGAATAAAGAATCCCAGGAAATAACTGTTCTCTCCCAGCCCCTAGCACTCTCTTACAGTGGGAGGTGTGTACAGCCCCATGGGGTGGAGCAGCTGGCCCCAGGCCACCTTGTTCTGGGTGTGCCTGAGTTGAGGCTGGAAGGAGCTGTCCACTTGATGCTGGCACTGCCCCAGGGAGGCCTGTGGTCTGAGGCTTCTGTCCAGCTCAGCCCAACAGGAAGAAAACATGTGATTGCTTTCATGTGGCAATCAATTCAGGGGGAAATGAGGATCAAGCCTTGCGTCTTAAAGCATAGCTTATATAAAGGAGCCACCAAGCGCCTGATGCTACCTGAAAGGAAAGCATCATTTCTGGCATTGGGGGACTACCTTCTGAGCCTCATGGCAGGACACAGAGGCTCTAAACATGTGTCGACTGTGCCCCTTGGCAGGTGGGCACTTTGGGCCTGTCCCTCCCTCTATGCCACCTCCACACACACCTGATCGCTTCCTGTCTTCACTAGAATTATCCACAGCCCCCTCCACCAACACCAGGATATCCTCAGTGACACTATAATTAACCTAACCAGGCCTCTGTCCATCTCCCCCAACATCCAAGATGGACTTAAACAGAAGAGTTGCTCAGTAAGGCTGGGCAGGCACCCAGTTTGGGCCCCTTACATATTAAAAGCCCAGCAGTGGTAGCTGAAGGATGAGACTGAAGGTTGAGTCACTTGACTGTTGCTGACCTGACTCCACCCCAGGGTACAGGGAGCTGGGTAGTCAAAGCTGACTTAAACCACAGTGAGCGCTCCCTTGGAGGTGGGCAGGTGTCTCAGAGCCATCCCACAAGAACAGAGGGGACAATCCGTGTTAGGATTGACAGCCTCACCATCACTCTCAGGGGATAGGGAGTTCTGGGTTGGATATGGGGTGTCCATGGGAGGGACAGCAGGACCTGGGTGGCCTGGCACAGTGCACAGCAACTGCGCAGGGAACTCAGAGCCCTGGATGCTCAGTGTTATTCCTCCTGCCTTTGTTGTTCAGCAGCCCTGCCCTGCCCAGGCAGACACGGCCATGAAACTGTGTGGAACAGGGCCCTCGTGGGACATAGAGGAGGCCCCGTTGTATTTGCCTCAGAATCTTGAGCTCCAAGCAATAGCTGGTGCACAGCAGAGCTCAGGAAACATGGAGTGAGCTGACTAGCTCTGCCAGGTGACTGCATGGCCCCAAGCAAAGTGCAGCACCTACTGAGCCTCAGTTTCCCCATGTGTGAAATGGCCCATCCCACAGTGCTTGAAGGAAGAATTGATACAAATGAACGTGCATTCTAACACACTTCTCAACTGGAAAGGAATTAGAAAATCACTGCCATTCACCACGTCTGAAATTTGCTCTGATGGCTACAAGGAGCGCCCTTTTCCCACTGGCACTGTTCCAGCATAAGCAATCTTGTAATATAAGCTTACCAATATGAATTTTGGATTAATATGGAAAAGGAAAATTTGATCTCAATACTTTCAGTTTTCTAAATTGATTCTCATGCAAAAAAAATACTTTATATATGTATATTGCCTATCACCATCGAATAAACACTTCACAGCAGACAGCTACTAAAATTGCAGATTACCATTTCTTAAGCTCCGAGGAGGAAAGACAAAATAGATCAACCATGATGGTGCCTGTGGCTCCTACCCTATTTTATTTTGCTAGTGGTCCTTAATATTAGCATTTTGGCCCAGCACGCAGAGAGAATGTGTGAAAGGCGAAAGCAGCTCGTCCCCCACATCTTCCTACACAGCACGCTCTCACACAGGAAGGGCAGACCAGCGTGTTATCCACAGGACTGCAGGCCTTCCGGGGCACGGGAGCACAGGCAGCCCGCAGAGCCACCCAAAGTCCACAGTGGCACCAAGCAGGAGCCTGACCCAGCTGCTCAGCCTTGCCATTTCTAGGTAACTCAGCTGTAGACACCCGTATGAAACCAAAACTGGTTCAGGAAGCCGCAGGGTGATCTACATTAGCGCCAAGCTCTCCGGTGTTCCACTCCACTGCGGAACATCCGAGAAAATGGACTCGGATTTCAAGGGACCCACAGAGGGCAAAAATTCCAAAGAAAACCACCTATGAAGGCTGGGATCTGTTTCAAACCATCCTCACCTCTTAGTCCTCCCCTGTCCTCCTATCTGGCCACACACACCCCCAAGCAGAAATGGCATTCTACCCTTAGCATCAGGATGATTAATCACTGGATTTTTTGAAGTCTTCCTTTAATTCCTCCTAAAGAATCACATTTCTCACTATCTACCTCTGATGGCGTGTGGAGCATCTCTAAGTTCAGCTGGCTCAGAGCATGTATCCTTCAGGGCCTCACACAGACAAGAACCAAGGTCACAGCACCAGGAGGAGGTGCCGACAAAGGGATGGATCCACCTACCCTTTAAATTACATCTGTCACATCTTGGGGCAATTTCCACCCAGGTATTATTAAAAAGCTAATAAACATTGTCAACCTTCTAACACAGAATGACCCATCAGGACATAACAGTGTGTTTTATCTGGAAGGAGAGAGAGGAGTGAAGACCGTGGCACTGAGGACAGACCCTCCCCGTGGAGCAACTGGACCCCCTGTGGGGGGATAGCAGGTGTTTTTCTCTCTGTCACTCCAGACGTGGAACTGCACATTGAGTCCAGTGACTCCTGAGCCCCAGACTGAGCTTCCAGCACATGCAGAAGCTCACCAGGACTGGACTCTGAGGACAGTGTTGCACCTGCCCTCAGTGGGGCTGTCCCATAGGCTTTTCCCCTGCTGAATATGAGGAGGGAGTATATTTTACCAGCAGTGGCCAGGCCTGCAGTCAACCTGATGGCCAGATGGATCTATAAACCAAGAATTTGCCTTGACTACACTTCCACGGGTGCTCATCTTGTCATTGTACGGATGACAGCATTTGCCAATGAAGATGGCAGGGAAGCATTTGCCAGTGAAGATCTTGGTTGGCAAGGCTCATCGTGTGCCCTATTTGGCATAAAACAAATCCCTAAGTGCCCCTGCTCAGTGGCAATGGAAGGTGGCACATTCCTGTGCCCAGCATGACCCAGGGGAGTGGGCATGCCACCTGCTCTACAGTGAAGCTGCAGTGAGCTGTCTGGTGCCAGAGACCCCGAGCGTGTGGCGTGCAATGCAGGGAGCACAGCAGGCACTGCCGGGGTCCAATGGGGGCTCTCATTCCTCACCAGCAAGCACAGGGCCACGTTTCTAGTGCTTAACATTCAGGGCTAAACATGTTTGGGCAGCAGGCTGCCTTGTTCAATTACAGTTCCCAGTTTATTCCCCCGCATGTCTCTATTTCCCGTGAGTTGTGCTTATTAGGTAAAACTGCAGGTTACACCTTCCTAGTGGAATTTCCTGGTGGAAAGGGTCAGTTGAATTAAATTTTTGCCTGGACAATTACAGTCAAACATTTCTTTTCGTTAAAAACATACAGCACAGAATGTTAGTCTTACATCTTTCTTAGTCTTAAAAAATATAAATATAGAGGGATAATTTGTACAGGATGTATAGGTATGTACACCTTTAATATGCGGATGAGAAATCTGGAGTAAGTTTATGAAACTTGACCTTGAAGGAAGCCTTCTGTTTGGGGCTGCCCCAGTTCCTGTATCCCTGACACCAATCTCCCCAGGTATTGCTGACCTGGTTCACGGTGTCAGGAGAGGCACCAGCCGGTCACTGTCGCCTCTCCACGGGCTGCTGGAGGCACAGCTCACTCCCAGCAGATACAATGGGCAGTTTGCCATCCAGGTGGTGGTTGATGAGGTGGCTGATGCTGTCAAAGACCCTGTCCTTTGTTCGGATCTGTGAAGGAAGTGAAGGAAAAGTTAGACATCCCACAGGCAGAAAAAAGAAAACACACTTTGCTCAGGCTAAGCCAGACCAGCTGAATGGGCTCAGGAGAGAAACAGGGGACCAGGGGCTCCCCAGGCTTTTGAGACCCCTGTCACTGGTGATGGCCATTTAATATGCCAGTCCCTGGGACTGAACTCTGGAAGGTCCAGTCTGCTGCCCTATAGGCACAACCTGTATTTCTTCTCCCCTAACTAACCACATCTGGACAGGTGCCTGAAGACATGGCCTCCCCTACATTCAGCAAGCTGGGCCACCTCACCTGTCTATCCTGCTCGCTGCCCACTTCTCTTAGAATTACTCTGGAATCCTCCATTTAGTGCCCTACCCCCCATACTGGGGTCTACAGGCTCCTGTGACCCTCCCACCTCCGTGCCTTTGCATGGCTGCCCCCTGTACCAGAATGACCTTCCACCTGGGAACCCAGTTCCACTGCCAGCATCTGCAGACAGCCCCTTCCATCCCCTACCAAGGCTGGCTCCCAGCAATCAGGGATCCAGGGAGTCCACCAGGAGTGAGCCCCACAGTTCCCCAGAGGAACTCCATGGAGGGTGAGCAGGGCGGGGCCTGAGGGGCAACACTTCATGTTCCTGGACTTCCCATTTAGAGCCTGGCACAGCGCCTGCCCTATACACTTTTCCTGAATAAATGAATGTGGGGGACAAGGGTTAATGTTCTTCCCTACTTCCTGGCCTGTACCATGGCCCTTGTCATCTGTCATCTCCACCCTGAGCTAGTATAGTCCTGGGTATAGACCACATTTGAAGAGGGGGCAGTGAACCAGTTGAGAGAAGTCTCTCAAAGAGTTCTAGAAACAACCGCCTGGGATTTGCTCCTCTGAGGAGTAGGAGATGGGGTAGGAAGTAGATGCCTGGCTAGACCCATTTACCCTCCTAGGTTACCTGTAGGTTGCCTGAGTACCTTGACCTCACTAGCTTTAGGGGATCCCTCTCCATCAGTGCTCACATGAATTTCCAGTAGCCTATCCCCTCATGGGGCAGCCAGCTCTCCCCACCCTCCTGCAGGGACTTCTAATGAGATGTCCACTCTCCTCACTGTTCGTCCCAATATTCTTTTTTCCCCAAATTCTTAATGTCATTCTTACCTTTCCTGATGTGGACACTCTTTTCTTTCCCCCTCTCTCAATCCACAAATGGCACATCAATCTCTGGACCTTCATCCCCATTCCCAGTCCCATCCCAAATCTGCAACCCAGGTACGTGTGTGGACATCCCTGCCCAAGGTACTCTGAGAAGTTCATGCTATCTGCTCAGGGTTCCACCAATTGGGAGCCAAAGGCAAGAGTAGAAACTTTCAAATTGGAATGTTTTCCTCCTAAAAGAACCCTCCCAATCCACCTCTGTAAGCACCAAAGGAGCAAGAGATCTCTGGGTCAAATGGTCCCTGGTTTTTGGCATTCAGCCTCATTAAGGATGTAACCTACTGGGCAAGTTCAGAAAGAGATTTTGTGCAAGATTTCTCAGCCTCTTTCCACTGAGAGTAATTCTTCTGGGGCTGCTTAGAATGCCTTGACCCAGAAAGATTCCCTGTGTGATTCAAGAAGGTTGCTTATTTGGAAGCTGAGAAACTCAGGAACTCAGCTTAAGAGCAGTATTGTTGGGGTGTTGCCTGGAATTTGAGCTCCATATTGCCATATCTAAATGGTTAATAGTCACATAAGTTCTTCAAGGTAGATGAAGACAATTTTATGATAAGGAAGTGTTCAGCACAGCAATCTCAACCTGAGCTCATGTCCCAGTGCCCTGTGAGGGGCTTTCAAGAACCCAACACACAGGCCCCAGCCCAAGCAAATTCATCAGGAGCTTGAGAGTAGGGCCCAGACACCAGTGTGTCTTCGACTCCCCTGGTAATTACAACATGCCACCAAGCTGAGAACCACCAGTTATAGATAAATCATATATATTTACCACCTAAGAAAATAGATAGGTTAGTTCACTTTATTCCCATAAATACTGAAACTCCAGTCTGGCTTCTTCCTAGAGATCTTGCAGCCAACAAAGTCACCTGTGTGGAACCACCTGTAGTACACTAGAAATACTGATGGCTGATTAAAACCATCTACCTGCTGGGACAAACCTAGGTTCCAGATACCTGAAGGGATACTGCTACAGTGAGGACACAGGGAATATTAACCTCAGACAACTGGGTGAGGCTCTGTATAGCAAAGAGGATAGATCAAAGGTGACAGATCACCTAACGTGACCAGATTTTAACAGTGATAAAATGGGACACCATTGATCGGGGGTGGGGTGGAGGAGGGGTGTGTTCTTGATTAAAAATTTGGTCTATATGGAGCAACAAAAATTTTCATAGAACGCAAAAATAGTATTGTAATTTTTTTTAATTTTAAGTACAATTTACAAATATAATACATTTAAAAAAATTATGTATAGGGCTGTGCCTGCGGCTCAAAGGAGTAGGGCGAAGGTCCACCTGGGCAACCTTGCCCAGGAGGGGAGTAGGGAGTTTACATTTTTACATTAGCCTTTTCATTTCCAAATGAAGTTACCTTAACCTCTTCATTCCCAAATAGAGTTACATTAACCTTTTCAGAGGCTGTATATTCCTTTCCCCTTGTCCCGCCCTTCCCTAGATTGTCCTGCATTCTTTCCAAAAATCAGGACTTTTTTAAACACCACGGGACCCCGGACAAATTGTTAAAAATTGGGACTGTCCCGCCAAAAGCGGGATGTCTGGTCACCTTAAGATCACCTTTATTCTAGTCAGGCCACAGAAGAATAGACTAAAATAGGCACATAGTAGAAAAGAAGAAAGGTCTAAAATTAATGATCTAAGTTTCTATCTTAGGAAACTAAAAAAAGAAGAACAAATTCATCAAAAGTAAGCAGAAGGAAAGAAATAATAAAAACTAGAGCAGAAATCACTGAAACTGAAAATAGGAAATCAGGAGAGAAAATGAATGAAATCAAAAGCTGGTTCTTTGAAAATATCAATAAAATTGATAGACCTCTAGGCAGGATATCTAAGGAAAAAAGAGAGAAGACATGAATTATTAATATCATAAATGAAAGAGGGGACACTACAACAGATCTTATGGACATTAAAAAGACAATAAAGATCAGGAATAAAGGAATTCAACTGTAAGATTGGTTTATCAAGGTGTTAAATGCATTTGACTTACAATGGTTTTGATTTAATTATAGGTTTATTGAGATGCAATCCCATTGCAAGGTGAGGAGCCTCTGTTCTATGAAAGACTCTATGCCCCTAAAGTTGATAACCTAGATGACATATGGACTGATTTTTGAAAGATTTAATCTGCCAAAACTCACAGAATAAGAGATAGACAACCCAAATATGCCTGTGTCTATTAAAGAAATTGAACCAATAGTTAATATCCTTCCAAAGAAGAAGTCACTGAGCAGGCAGCGCCTGTGGCTCAAAGGAGTAGGGTGCCGGCCCCATATGCCGGAAATGGCGGGTTCAAACCCAGCCCCAGCCAAAAACTGCAAAAAAAGAAAAAAATAAAGGAATCACTTGGCTCAGATGGGTTCACTAATAAATTCTACCAATCTTTAAGGAAGAATTCTCTACAATCCCTCTCAGAAGATAGAATCAGAGGAAATATTCCTAACTCATTCTAAGAGGATAACATTACCTTAATCCCCAAACCAGAAAAACATCTTGTAAGAAAACTATAGCCCAAAACTCTTATGAAGATAGATGCAAAAATGCTCAATAAAATATAAGCAAATTGAAACCAACAATATATAAAAGAATTACACACCACAACTACGTAAGATTTATCTCTGGTATGCAAGGTCAATTCAACACTCAGAAGTCAATACTTTAATCTGTCACATCCATAGGCTAAAGAAGAAAAATTGCATGATCATATCGATATATGCAGAAAAAGCATTTGACAAACTCTAATGACCATTCAGTACCTCAACTTGATAAAGGATATCTACCAAAAAGCCTATAAGTAATATCATACCTCCTCTAGCCTGACGTGAGTTCAAGTCAAAACAGGACAGAGTATAACCATTTCCACTGCCAGGATCTAGAGGGACACTAAGGTATCACCGGCAATGGAATGAGGTGGAGAAACCACCCTACAGAAGCCTCTCCAGAAGCGGGGGTCGGGTGGGGGAGGGAGCAGCCCTGACGTGCGGTGGGAGGTTCCTGCCCAGAAGGCCAACCTCAGGATGTGTACAGATGCAGGGTTGGGACGCAGGTGAGACTCCTCATGTTTTCTTCATCAGTGGTGACTAAGTCCAGCAGAGACACCTGCTTGAAGGGAAGTTGTGTCTGGGTTGAGATCTGCCATCTTGGCTTAGTACCTTGGTGATTGTCAAAAGTGCCCAGTGGTGGGAGGACATGAGGAAGGTCTCCTGCTCCTGGGTGGTGTGTGTGAGCCTCACCAGGGTATGGGGGTATGGCAGGGAGCTGTTGGTGACCCACTGAGCTGCAGGCCTGGTTTGATCTCACAAGGTCATGTCATACTGAGCTTCCACATTCAGAACAGTTGCAAGGGCACTGGGCCAGCCCTTTGTAGGGTATTCTAGCAGTGTCTGGCATGTGACTTTTGTTCTGGGTGGGTAGTATACTATCTGGAGAGTATGTCAGCTGGAGAGAAGGGTAGTGTCTCATCCCAGGGAAAACCTAGGCCACCTTGGGGATTGCACAGTCTCCATGAGGCTTCTGGGACATCATGGGATGAGTCACTGTTCAAGAAACCTCCAAAAGTCTCATTCAGCTGCCAAAAGGGAGAGGTTGGGATCATGACCCTCAAAGTCTCCAAAACTGTCTGCCCCTGCAGGCCTTCAGTGACCAAAGACAGCACCAAATCTGCTCACACAGGGCAGGGCCCAAGGTGCAGACCAAGAGAGAACACAGCTGTTCCATGAAACTAACATGATACCTTTATAAAAATCCACAAACTCAAAGCCAAACTTGCCAAAGAGAAG